ACCCCACAGTTTCAGTTTCTCCCACTACAGCACTGACCAGGGTCCGGTTTCCCTGAAGCGTCTCTGCTCAGCCGTGGTCCAGCCCAGAACAACGCTGATGCTGAAGGAGGTTCACGTGGTTCCACTGCAGCTATAAATATCTGTCACCGTGACTGGGATTTGAACCCATCACTGTGGCAGCTGTAAAAGTGTTTTTACATCGTGGGAAACCGCCGGGACGGTCGGAAAAGTCCGACTGACACGACACTGAACCAAAGTACGAAGAAGTTCATTTCCCGTCTGGGAACACACTATGTCCCAGGGTGGGATTCAAACCAACAACATTCGCGAAAAAAATCATACAGTTACAGTTAGCTGCATGAATGAAGAGAAACGACGAGAAAAACCCACTGTGACCCGAGTTAGAACTGTTGAGTTAGAACTGTTGAGTTAGAACTGTTGAGTTAGAACTGTTGAGTTAGAACTGTTGAGCTAGAACTGTTGTGTTAGAACACTGTGGTTTGTAAAGACCAGTTCTGCTCCAATCCCACTAACACCTACTGGATGACGACAGTACTGTCTCACAGTCACAGTCAGTACAGTGTAATAACTGTTCATGACAGTAAAGGATTCTCAGGTGACAATTATCTCCACGGTAACCGCTGAACACATCGGTACCAACGGTACTGCCCAGATCTTTGACACCAGGAGTCCAGCAGAGGTCATTTTATTTAAACCACAGACACGAGTGTCGTCAGTGTCTTTAACCGACACTTTATCAGAACCGTTCTGGATGGTATTTCACATTTTTTGTCGTCAAGGTTTTTTTCTCGTCCACATCGGACACAGATGAGCTCAGACGTTTCTTCGTCTCCTCATCATGTTTAAAAATTTAATTTTAATTTTTTTTTTCTTCCTCAAAGTGTGATCCTGTGTCGACCACAGACGGCGGCCATGTTGGATCCCGTTGTTTCCTGCCAGTACCGATTTCCTCTCACAGCGGCGGCGTGAGGCTGAGCTCCACCGCAGCACCGAGCCTGTGTGAAGCACTCAGGTAGAAACTTCCTCACCCTCAGACTCCCGGGACCTGGAGTGAATGGCCTGGTGAGGCGGAGACGCACACACACTCCTGTTTAGTATGCATGTGCAGTGTGTGACGGCTGAGTCACTGATCTGCTGCGTCTCACACACGGGGACATGTCGGCTGTGAAGCTGCTGCTGTGATTAACAAACACTGTTTCTACGGAAATGAAGCAAATGAGACCTTTTTGATTTCACGGCCGGACGTCAGGTCAGCGCCGACTCAGCAAATATTAGTTGATGTTTTTTTCTTGTATCTTTAAAAAAAAAAAGTTGTGGAAAATAAACAGTAGAGTGAGATAAACCGCAGTGAGATACAGGAAGGACGTACGGCTGCTCTGATATATCTATATCTATATCTACTTTAACGACTCATTCCTCCACAACTGTGATTCACTCTCATTACAGAAATTCAACTACAAACCAGTGTTTTTATACATAAAGAAAATGTTGATGGGAAAAAAACAAATTTAACTTTCTGCGTCCCACTTAGGGACCCCGTCCCTCAGTTTGAGAATCACTGCTATGAATCCCTAAAAGAACCCTATCCCTAACATTGCACTAGCATCACAGATATATTTTTTTTTTCCAAAAACAAACAACGGCAGTTCCACCAAAGTCGACTCTTCAGTCCTTGGACCAGAGAGAGACGCAGGTCATGACCTGGTGTCAAAGGTCAACCTCCAGAATTCTACAGAGAGGGAATTCTCTGCTGGTCTTGGTTTGTCTGGTTCACCTGTCGTGACCTCTGACCGTCCCGTCCATGACAGTTGGACTGGAGACAGATTTGTCCCAAGTCCATGTTTATGAAAAGTACACAGTACACAGTATACGTGTGTATTCAGATGAAGTACTCAGTACTAGTCAGTCAATTTGTGTATTCAGATGAAGTACTCAGTACTCGTCAGTGGATGATAATAAAAAGAGAACAAACGGAAACAGGAGCTTTTTTTTGTAACTCCACACCTCCTCCTCCTCCTCCTCC